TCCCACCGCCTCTCCTCTCCTCTCCTCGCCGCCGCACGAGCCGGTTCCCACCTTCTCTTTTCACGGGGCGGGGCCGGGGTCCGCGCTCAGGCCCCGGAGGCCGAACCCGGAGCCAGCCAGGCCCCACCACGTGCCTCGCGCGGGTTTCAAAACCCCGGGCCGTGACGTCACATCCTCCCCGCCCACGTGCAACGCCGCGCATGGGCGGCAGGCGGCGAGGAGGAGCCACGCGCGGCAGAGACATCCGGGGCCGAGGGGACGCTCTGGGGGCGGGGCCGGAGAGGATGCGCGGGGGCGGGGCCCGCTCCAGGCAGAGCTGGGGAGAGACCCAGCTCCACATAGCGCTGGAGCCGGGCCCGGTTCTTAACTCGCCGGCACTTCCGGGTACGGGGCGCGGGGCCCGATTCGACCAGATGGGTCAATTGGCCTAAGGGCCAGCAGCCACCAGGCACGCTGAGGCCCGGCATTTTTTTTCCGTGGCCCGGTAGCAGGCCGCGGACCATAGTTTGGGAAACTCTGTGCTATACCAATGAAAGCTACAAGCTACAAATAGTACTACTGTATCACATTGGGAAGACTAGCCCAGTCATAGCAGCAAGGCTTTATCATCCCATATTGACAGCATGTTCAGTTGTTTTCTTCCTAATAAATGCGGTGCTCTTTATCTTACATCTCCCCTCTTTCATTTTCATTGAGTTTAGCCCTTCTGCTTCAGTACATGGTGGCAGCATCTTCGTTTGCATACTGAGTGTGGTCCATAAGATTGAGTAATACTCAAATGGTTGTTCCAGCCAAGGATCTCAGAAGATATTACAAAAATTAATGAACTGTAATGCTTCATTACTCTTTGGCATCAGGGATCCAAGCTGAAACTTCTAATCCTGAAAGCATGAACAGCTCCTGCTAGAGCTAAAAGATCAAGCTCTGCTAGTCAAGACACCACATGTGTGGGAGTGGGTTATATAAGAAACATAACAACTGCATGAGCTAGGTACATACTATGATGTGCAGCAGAAGAACAGGCAAAGAGAGGATAAGTGGCTTGCACCAACTCACACTGCAAATTAGCAACAGAAACAGGGACAGCTGCCAAATCTCATCACATATATGGTAAGTTAGATCTGAAGCATGAGGTTTTATAGCCCTACCAAAAAAATTGTAGTATTTACTTCTATAACTCTGGAAATCAATGTCCAGTCCCTGTTTTTATCATGATGGACTGTGATCTAACCTGCCCAGACAGCTTGATAAAACCTAAATTAATGGAAATCTGCAGGTTTGGGAAAGCTTCAATCATTGTGCCTATTTAAAATAAGCCTCTAATTTCAACTGGAAAAGAGAGTTTTAGTTCCTTACATCTACCAATGTTTAATGTTGCAAGTTCATGGTTACAGACGAGGGACTTGAATTTCAGTGGGGTATTAAGTGTGTGAAGATTTCATATCCATTTAAGTACTATGTACTTCAAGATCCTCAGAGATGAAAGGAACTATATCGATGTAAGATCATTATCATGTAATTGCACTCATGCCTTTCAGAAGGCATATCCTGAACAATAATTAGTACCCCTTTGATTTTCAGCCTGGGAGAAGAGAAAAACTCACAGCTAGTGCTGTGCAACACTCACAAGCTGTACTGTCTTGTTAGCTTCCTCACACGAGAAACTTTAATTTCCTGCTTTTCTGGAGCACCTGTCGATGGTGTTGTTTCTGGTCGCACTGGTGCTGGACTTCTAAAAAACAAGAAAAATGTTTGTGGTGAAGGCTTTCTTTAAGCTATCTGAAGGCACGTCGGCAAAGTTATAATTTAATGGCACATTTAACCAATGCGTTAGCAAGTACACATTGGCAAGCTTACCCTTGTGTTCTGTGTGTAATCCAACATGCTGATATATACTTTTTTTATTCATAGTTGTATGTCCCTTTATACTGTGTAACTTTACAAAGAAGCAACCATTTAAATATATTAAATCCATGCAAAACACCATAAAATACTTCTGTGCTAATGAGGTAATACAGAAATACAGTATTTTAAAGAGATCCAACCATTAAGCTTTATAAAACTTTTTGAAACAGAAACGACTATAACTAGAAGCTTAACGATCTAAAGATATCATTCATTAAAAAAGCCTTTGATTGGAATTAAACATTTCCCTGCAGTGTTTGCAATAGCAGTGCAATAGCTCTGAGCCAGTGGATGAGATCCAGGAAGCTCACTAGAAACAAAAGAAACTGTAAGCATTACATTAGAAGTGAAGATGTATGTGACTTTTAACCTGATAGTGACACGAAGAAGCTGTGATTGTGGAACCATTGCTGTGGATAGCAAAATAGAGTCCTGATCAGGAAAGATCTCTGCTTGATATTGTTCTGGTGTTATGGAATATTTAATACCCCTGCTTGCTTTTCATATTCCATATTAAGTTTGTAGGGATGGTGACTAGGAAAAAGCAATGTACTGAATTGTGAAGTAAGTAAAGCTGATTTGCAATCCACTGAGACACTAATATCATGGAAGTCCACAAGGACACTTTTTGGTGTCACTTTTCACTTCACATTGTTTAGTAATTAGGAAAAAGAACCAATCATTAGCACACCTCAAAGCCCTTTTCAGTTCAAGAACCGCTGCAGGGAGGATACATGTGCAAAGGCCTGTGTAATAAAGTAATTCAAGGGTCAAACCTCAACTGCTGTAAATTGATGTCACTCTGCTGACTTCAGCTAGGCTACATTGATGTGCACTGGTTGAGGGTCTGTCCCTGAACAAACACTATTGCCATTTCTATAGCAACCTAACAGGGTACTTTCCATTCATTACATAAATCCAGAGAAAGTGGGAACAAAAATAAATAATCATATATCAAATCTAACATGAATTGGAAAGGATACCTCTGTATATTTAGGAAGCAATAAAATGTATCACATTTAGGGATTTCAGACACATCAGGATCCATAACACATCATAGGGATAAAGCAGAGAAGACACTTAGTAATTTATATCAATATGTGAAAAATCCATTGTGTTTTACTGAATATTGCAAAATCATCTGTGAAACAACAATATAAAAAAGCAAATAAACAGTATTTCAAAATACATAAAACATTCCATTCATTTGGCACATACAACTTATCTCTATTTATGACATTTCACAGTAGAATAGTCAATTTCCTGTTCACATATTCTGCAAAAGGAATGGAGTTTAAGTAATAAGAGACCCCGGTACAGTATTCTGCCATCAAATCCTTGTTCAGGGCCTGATCCAATCAGTCTTTCCATGTACTTCAATGTTCTTTGCCTCCGATTCTAAGTGGCAGAGATCACCATTTGATTGTGCACATTATAGGAGCTGTAAATTAGCTCAGGAGTAAATTAGTGGAGGCTCTCCTATACTCTAAATGAAAAGGAACAATAATAAAAATGATACATTGCATTTGTTTATTTATTTCAACCTAAAGATGCAAATCTCTGTCAGATAGCTGAGTCTACTCTGCAGCAAGTACAGGATAAGCGTCCTTAATAGAGGACATATCAGATATTAAACCGATGCCACCAATGCCAGCAGATGGATTTTTAACCCCCATTTTTCAAAACTGGCTGGTTACATCCCAATTCCCATGAGGACTTCTGCAACACAAAACTGCACTGCTCCATCTGTCTCCTTGCCTGTTTCCACTGAATGCATTTTCCCCAGCTGAACATATTCTAATGCTCTTTCGCCTCTAAATATGAAAATACTTAAACAACAAATAATCTTGCAGGACCTTGGAGACTAACAAAAATGTAGATGGCATCACAAGCTTTTGTGGGCACAACCCACTTCTTCAGATAAAGCTCAGATGAAGAAGTGGGTTGTGCCCACAAAAGCTCATGATACTATCTACATGTTTTGTTAGTCTCTAAGGTGCTGCAGGACTATTAATTATTTAAAAAAAAAATTCCGTTACAGACTAACACGGCTGCCCCTTTGAAACTCTCAGTATGAAACGCTCATCTGTGAGTAACAGTAGTTGGGAGAGCAGCTAGCTGGTTCTCCTCATTGGTGTACCTTAGTAATTTACAGATATTATGTCACTGAATGGGTGCAGAATGTCAAACAATAATCCATGGTTATGTAACACATATAATAGCATTTCCCCCTGAAGTCTAAATTTAGTAACAGTTGCTGCTTAAACAGCAGAAACCATGCTTTTAAGGCAGATGCATTCATCCACTGGAGTCCACTAGCTATAGAGACTGATTCAACTTTTTTTTTTTTATGGCAGGATTTTAACCCTTTACAAAGCCTTAAAAAAAATCACACTGACATTACTGGAAAAAAAAAGAATTAAGCAGAAAGCTGAGTAGTTTCTATTGTTACCGTTTGAATTCTATAACAATCATATATTATCTCACATGAAAGGATATAGCTTTTCAAGAAGATACCTTGCAATTATTTTGGCTATTTAAAATAATAGAGGCTTTACGTGCAGAGACAGACACTTCCCTTATTACTTGTAGTAAGTGACATAGATTTGAACAAAACCTGATGCCCTGGAGGTTCAGGATGACCCATGCTGTAGTGTAGTAGAATATAATATGATTTGTGTGTGTGGTACCCTGGCAATGCCATGAATTCATGGGAACCAGTTTTTTTGCAAATGTAGCCAACTGCTTCAGTGAAAGGTACTGAACCAAGACCGAGCATCTTAATGACCTGGCAGGCTGCATAATAATCTGTCATTCCCTAGTGATAGTGACAATGACAATCATGAATGTCAGCTTGCCATGACACATCAAGAGAGCCTGCCTAAAATTAGAGATAGAGCATGCTTCTCAACAAAGCTCAGAGCTTTAGAGAACCAGCGCTTCCAATCTCACAAACTCGCTGCAGCGGGCTCATTAGCCTTGCACCGAGAAAAAAGTAAATCATGTGAAGGTATAGCTTCATATCTTCCTAACCTAGACTGCAGTCTGCAGATGCATTTTCATGCTGGGGAGGAAGAAAGCAAGGGCAGAGAGGAGGGGATTAGAAGGAAGAAGAACAGGGAGAATGAGAAGAGGAGCAAAAGCCCACAGGCAAGAGCAATTGACTCCTGGGTTAATCCAGCTGGGACTATCCCCACTGCAAAGCACTACCAGAGTTATTGTGCTCTCTGCTCTTGCACTTGTCCCAATGTTTCAAGGAAATGCCCCCTTAGTGGTTTGTGCCGAGTTTCTACAGTTCCCTCTAAGCCAGCTGTGGAAGAAAAGGTCTGTCTTTCAGAGGAGGGGGGAATTATGGGAAGGTACTGAGGGATTATCAACTCTTGAGTTATTTAACCTGTCTCTCACTACAAAGTGGGCCAGTTACCAGACTGAGTGAAAGTGGGCTACATCTACACTGTTTTTGTTTTTCGGAAAAGCTATGCAAATAGCGCTCCGCATCTGCATAGCTTCTTCTGTTTTTTTTTCCAGAAGAGGCTTTTCCGCCATTTGGCCTTGTTTACATGGGGCCAAATGTCAGAAAAACCTCCTCTTTTGAAAGCCCCTGTTTTCCTTGTGGAAGGAGGTATACAGGGGCTTTCAAGAGAGGAGGTTTTTCCGACATTTGGCCCTATCTACATGGGGCCAAATGGCGGAAAAGCCTCTTCCAGAAAAAAAATTGAAGAAGCTATGCAAATGAGGAGCGCTATTTGCATAGTTTTTCCAAAAAACAGAAGCAATGTAGATGTAGTGAGTGAAGTATGACAAAAGAGTATAAAAGGACAATGGCTCCTGTTTTCATCTAGATGATTGTTGCTTTCACATTCCCTTTGAGTGGAAATATTTAATTAATTTTTCAAGGGTGTGGGGGGAGGAGAAGAGAAGGAAGAAGATATTTCACTTAACATGAAGATTCTAATATAATTCAAAGGCCTCTCAAGCCAAGCACACACACACATACATACATATAAACAAACAATACCCCAGGCCTTTCCTCAGTTTGTAGTCTGAGATTTTTCCACTTTGGTTTTCTTGGGTATGCGAAAGCTATACAAAGATCAGGAACAACGTGGCTTTGTTTTTGTTACTATGATGCCAGGAGAGCTCTTCTGATACCTCATAGATCAAGGGTTATCAGGTAATTTGAAGACTGCTTTCTGAATTCATGCCTTTGTACTGGGTTGGCATACAGATTGAGTCTTTAACAGAGTATGCCCCTGAGGTGGAGTGATTTATTAAACTATACAGAGCTTGTGGGCGTTTGATACTCTCTTCATTGCAGCTCCCTATTTTTCTTCCTTTCTAACCCCTGTCCACCTGCCCTTGCTTCCTTCCACCCCATAACAAAAATGCCTCTGCAGACTGCAGTCTAGGTTAAGACTATAATGCTCCTAAATTCCAGCAGGAAGGGGTGATATATGCTCTTTTTCCACCACACTTAGAACAATGCTCTCCACCATCTGAGCTCAAAATCAACTATACATTCAGGTCTGCACAAAGCAATCAAAACAGTCACTATTTGTCTCAAGATATTCAGATGAACCAGAGGACACTTCTCTTTTACTTCAGCTGGATTTGGGCACCTAACTCACTTAAGCTCCTTTGAAAATCCCAGCACCTATGTCTAATGCAGATGGTTATGTAGAAACTTGTAATGGAATTTTATAATTTCTGATACCACTAGTCATGATTCCTTTTTGTAGGTGGCAAGTTAGAAATATAGGTGGGAACAATGTATTTTAAATAGCAAACATAGCATCTGATTTGGGACTGTAGGTAATGGACAAGTTT